GTAGTCATATACTTTGTGCCCAAATCTTGGCCAAATAAAGCCCGATCCTGGCAGATTGGGCACGTTAAGCTCGAGGAGGTCCATAGAATAGAATGTTATCAAAGTGTTTGATTTCAGAAAAAAGTGATTTTTAGACAAAAAAAAAACTTTATTTTGGTCATTTTGAGCCAAGATGACCCAAAATGAGAAAATATACAGTGTTTGGCCGAGATACGGCCATAAAAAAACCGAAAAAAACGCCGTTATAAATTTGGAGTTTTTCGTTTTTTGCAATAATTTCGGCTAAAAATGGTCCGTTTTTGGAAAGGTATATCTTTTTGAACTCGTACTGATCTCTATTATCGACTGACATATCACATTTTTTTCTAAATCTAATTTTGTTTTTGAAATCTTGAAATTCTGAAAAATACCTAAAAGTAAGGCAAAGCATTGCATACTTTTTGTACTGTCCACATAAAACGCTTGGACGTATTAGAATAGCTGCTCTACTGCATACTCTTGGTCCGCGCATAAAAGCAAACCATTCACAATATACACATTTGATTAAATATTAAAATTGCAATATACAGTCCGATTTCGGAGTGATTGACTCCCGACGATCCATTGACAGTCGCATTCTAAGATTTGACCAAATTTATTGGTGAAATTTGAAATATGTACCTAACGATCATTGAGAATAGCGAATCTGAAGAGTGCACTTTGCCTTCCGTTACTCAAAAGAATTTGTGAAATGCATTGCAAATGTAATGTAATTTAATGTAATTTCTTAATAAGAGGGGAGGTAAAAAGCGCATTGGAAATGTGTACAACAATCGCTGACCAAAAGCGCAGTGAAAGTATGAACTATTTGCATCGCAGTTATTATTTATATAGGTTTTTATTTTACTAGTGTAGCTTTTTTGGTCACTTCATCTTATTATTCATTTGAACTCATAATTACCTATTAACTTGATATTTGTTTACTAAAGAATCATCCTGGTTGTTAGGTGCGTTAGCCTTGCCTTGCCTTGCCAAGAAGTTGTGGTGCTTGTGGACCAAAGTAATTCTGCATTCCATATCAATTGTTAATCTTTAGATCTTTGTGACCATTCACAATTTTACAATCAGAGCTAGCTATAATTGCAGGCTTATCATCTGTTACTAAATCTGTAACGATATTAGAGAGTTGACAGACAATGTATCTATCTGCTGTTATCGCAAACCCTGTATTATAATCTACAGGCTTGTGTGGCCTATAAAAACCCATTCATGCTATCAGATGCACTTTACTTCTTGCATCGCTTGACGCTCATACACAAATATGGATAGCACACAATTCGCCAAACTTAATAAATTGATAGATGGAAACATAAAGTTGGCGAACGAAAAGGATTGCGTGGTCTACGCCAGCGAATTGGTGAGTTACAGCTCTAGGAATTGAGCCCCTTAGATGAATCATATACCAAACCGATTCACAGCTGACCATGGACAGCAGCAGCAGCGAGGAGGGACGCGAGCAGCTAACGGAGGGGCATGCCACCACCCGGGACACTTGGGGCAAGGGAGTTGAGTTTCTGTTCTCCTGCATAGCCTTGAGTGTGGGCCTGGGCAATGTCTGGCGTTTTCCTTTTATAGCGCTGGAAAATGGTGGCGGTGCCTTTCTTATACCCTATTTGGTGGTGCTGCTGCTGGTGGGTCGACCGATCTACTATCTGGAGGTTATCATTGGACAGTTCTGCAGCCAAGGCTGCATTGGCGCTTTTGATATGGCGCCCATTTTTAAAGGTACACTAAATTTGATATAGATATTTGAGTACTCTGATATAGAACAATAAGTGCATGCATATAAAAAACTGATTGACAGACTGGCTGATTGACTGCTTGACTGCTTGACGCACATCCGAGCAAACTACACTTTTATCCGATCGGCTTTAAAACTATTTAAAAAATATAAATTAATTTATAAAAAATTTAAAAATTAAGTAAAATTTATTTAACTAACTTTTCAAAATTTAAATGAAAATTTACCCGAGCAAGGCCGGGTAATGTTTGCTAGCACTTTATACATATATTCTTGCTCAGCACTTGCATCTAATTCTTATCTAGAATTTTTCTAACTTCCAGGTGTTGCCTATGGTCAGGTGTATTCAACCGCTTTGGCTACCACGTACTATGCGTGCATTATGGCCCTGACCATAAGATATTTGGTGGTCTCCTTTTCCGATGTGCTGCCCTGGACGTACTGCCTCATCGAGTGGGGCGCTCAGTGTGTGGCGACCGGAGCAACTGGCAACAACAGCAGCACTCCAGTGCACGGTATATCTTCAGCGGAGCTTTATTTTACGTAAGAATAACTTAAACGTATTTGGAAGCATCTCCTTTATAAGCTATATATATTCATGATCAACATCTGTCTGTTCATCTGCATTATCTCGGGGATTAGAAGAGCTAGATAGTTTATGTTTGCAATATAAACATTCGCGTATCTTTCACAAGTGAACTGCACCCATTTATCGATAACTCATATTCGATAAATATCGATTTTTAGCCTCGGCTCTCAAAGCATATCTCTGAGATTATTCGAGCTAGATGCGTCAAATTTGGTATGCAGGTTCTAGAATTTGATATACATTTTGCAGATATATAACTTTTTGGCCATCTTCCATAATATTATACAATTTAAAAGGTGTAAACTCTATTTGCCTGACTTTGGCTATATAGAAAAGTTTTGCTTAGCTGGATATAGGCTATCTTCTAGACGGAACGCTCCTAGATAACCCTTACTTGTTTCCACTTGCAGTCGCACAGTGCTGCGCGAGCCGGAAAGCTTGGATGAGGGCCTCGGCACGCCCAGCTGGGAGATGGTCATCTGCTTGCTAGTCACCTGGATCATCATTGCCATCACCTTGTTCAAGGGTATACGCAGCTCGGGCAAAGCATCCTACTTCCTGGCACTCTTTCCCTATGTCATCATGCTGATCCTGCTGGTCAGAGCGGTAACCTTGCCGGGCGCCTGGCAGGGCATTGCCTATTTCATACAGCCGCAGTGGAGCCAGCTGCTCAATCCGCATGTCTGGTATGCGGCCATAACGCAGATGTTCTTCTCCCTGGCCATTTGCTTTGGCACCCTGATCATGTATGCCTCCTTTAATGACTTCAATAAGCGTGTGCACAAGTAAGTACTAGAAATAATAATATATATATAAAATTGTTCTGACTGACTGATTGATTGACTGACTGATTGATGACCAACTTAGAGCTCAAGCCGTATGATTTTCATTAAGACGGGGTATCGTAAAATTCCTGATGAAAAATGGGTGGAAATGTATAAGAAGATGTATTTAATTATATTGCTTCCCTTGGACGCATTTTCAAAGTTAAATTTCATGGGAGACGTGTTTCACACTTTTCGGAAAATCCATCTCCCTGGGTGGAAAATGGTTGTTCCGGGTTGGATGGGTAAAAGTTCAATTTTTGTCCCATTATATAAAAAGCTCTACAGACGAATCGAAAGTTAATGAATAATAATCTTTCAACACAGAGACGTCATCATTATCACAACTATAGATTCGTTTACCTCCATTTTGGCCGGCTGCATCATCTTTGGCATTCTGGGCAATTTGGCGCACGAGACAAACACCACGGACATATCGCAGGTGGTCAAGGGCGGCGCTGGCTTGGCCTTTATCTCGTATCCGGAGGCCATTGCGAAGTTTAAATATTTGCCGCAACTGTTTGCCGTGCTCTTCTTCTTCATGCTGCTGGTGCTGGGCATTGGCAGTAATATAGGCATGGCCTCCTGTGTGATCAATGTGGTCAAGGATCGCTTTCCCCAGCTGCCGCACTGGCAGCTGGCCATTGGCGCCTCAGTGATGGGTTTTGTGTGCGGCTTGGTCTACATGACGCCTGGCGGGCAGTTTATACTGAATCTGGTGGATTTCTATGGTTGCACTTTCATTGCCCTGGTGCTGGCCATTGTCGAGCTGCTGGCTGTGTCCTGGATATACGGCGTAAAGCGCCTGTGCAGCGACATAGAGTTTATGCTGAATGTGAAGACCAGTTTCTATTGGCGCATCTGCTGGGCCATTGTGGCGCCCGGTTTGATGTTCCTCGTGCTGATCTATATGCTGGTCAGCTATGAGCCGCTGACATACAAAGGCGTCGCCTATCCACAGGCAGCCTATATGGCTGGCTGGCTTATCTGGGGCCTGGGCGTGGCGCAGTTGCCCTTCTGGGCGCTCTACATTATTTACCAACAGCCTGGACAGAGCTTTCGCAGCGTAAGTCCCATAGATTAATTTAGTTGTATTTTACATAAAACTTTGCCTGCCCACAGAAACTCCAACTTGCCCTGCAGCCCACTGCAGATTGGGGTCCACGTCAGCCCCAGCAGCTGCAGGCTTACCTACTGCACCGCCAGCGTGTGGTGGAGTCCAAGCAGCAACGCGGCGGCTTCTTTTTTGACAACATCTTTGGTTAGTTCTAGAGCTTGACAGTATTTCGATTCATTTCAAAAACTAATTTGTCTGCATTTTGAAAATACTTTTGATACTTTATTTCTTGAAATAACCGAAAAAACAAACCGCAAAATTTAATTGATTTTCGTTTGCTCAGAGCGTGTTTTAGCTTTTTAGTTATGAAAAGAATTTTAAAACTAACATTTTTATGCAGAGTTTTGTTTTGCAATTGTTTAATTATGTTAATATTAGGCTTTAGCATTTTAGCAGCAATTTTCAACTATTTTACCTTAATAAAGCTAAGTACAAAAATCAAATAATAATATAATAAAATAAAATACATATGCTTAATGTACACAAAAACATAAAAAAAATTGAATTTATGCGAATTTGTTAAATAAGTTTTGTAAATATTCATAGAAAATAAAGTTGGTTCAAATAAAACAAGCAACCAATTTTCTAATATTATTTTCATTTCCGTTATGTTGGGCTTGGACAGGCAGAAAGAAAATTCTTAAATAATTAAATCTAAGTGGGATTATTTTGTATAGCATAAATATTTACTTATTTTAAAGTCCCATTCTTTTATAAGAAATACTCTTAAATTGCTGTAACGTTTCAACAAATAGCAAATAATTTGTTAGTTATTCGAAAGTCTTGGCAAACAAACAGGTTTGTTTAATTAATAATTAATTTTTCTTTTTTAATTTAGCAAGGTACTGTGAAAATGTTTGAGAGACTTTTTGATTAAATTGTTGAGATATGCTTGAAGAGAGAAAATGTTAAATATAGCAACTTTTTGAAAGAGTGCAGTTAGATTATATAAATTGTTTGCAAATCTGAAAAACAAGCATGTTTAAGAAAAAAAACTTTTACTTTTTTGTTAGGCACTTTGCCAAGCTTTTCCAAGAATTAAGCGATTAGTTCGAAAAGAAGCTAAAGGCTTATAAATAAATCAGTTAGAAATTCAAATGGTATTCAAAATAAAAATCGAAGTTCCTTAACAAAAGAAAACTTAGTGTTTAACTAAAGTAAAATACAATAAAACTCATACAAATAATTGTTGATATTATTATTTATGAACCTGCTGCAATTCGAATGCACTCGAATTCATATTATTACATTAAATTTCTGATTAATTATCACAGCACTTTTTGATTTTTATTTCCTTTTTGTTATTATTGTGCAAAATTAGATATATGCCAAACAGAATTAAATATGTTTCAAACTCAAGTATTTACAGCTCCTAACTTATGCATAAGATCTAAGCTACTTATTGTTTTTTATTTTTATTGTTATCATTATTTATATTATATTTTATGTTCAGCTGCAGCTAAGCAATTTATTTAAATTATCGAATAAAATGATTATTTTAAAAAGTTCTTATTTGGCTTGATTTGAAATATGTTTTGAGCTGGCTTTAATATTCGTTTTCAATTCTTTTTTTTTTGTATTTATTTTCATCATTTTGTTGGCAGATTTTTGTTAGATTTGGGCAATGTTTTCACATTTTCATGTAGCACTTTTTGATTAGTTGTTGAAACCCATTAAAATGTGATTTCGATACACTATATATAAGAGCATAATATATAAATGTATAATATATATGTATATATCTATTGGTATACAAACTAATCAACACTAATGAATTAAGAATTGACTTGTAATTTCATAGCCTACATTTCAGCGCAAAGATTTTTTCAGTTATTATATAATTAAAATTCAGCGTAACTTGGCTAAATATATATTTATATAGTATACTTAATTAGAATCGAAAATCTATATGCACTGGCTAAAAAATGGAAGTTGTATTTAACATTTTGTTCACACTAGATATGGTCCTATTTGTGTTGCGTCTATATATATAGAAAAGTTAACATATATACGATATGAGTTACCTTGAGTATATTGTCTACTTGCTAATGATATCGCCTGTACGTGTGTGTGTGATTGTGTGTGTGATTGTGTGTGCGTGTGCCTATTAGAATTTAAAAGTTGCTTGTCTTGGGTTCACATATCCCGTTAATATTTAGTTAAAAATTGAATCACTTAACATTTGCCTTTTAGTTTTCAGTTTTCTACCCATCTCTATTTACAGCGTAGAAAAATAGTAGTATTTGCTCTAGAAAGTCTGTATTGGTCGATAGAGTCCTGTATAGCCACACAGACGGGCACGCATTGCCGGTATCAAAAAGGCGGCCAATGAGATATCCTTCAAAAGCTCCGCACACTCACAGACCAACAGATACATTTTGTCCCCCTTCTGTGAGGTGCTCTTATGCAGGGCTATGCGACGGAGGCCTGCAGCGCGTGGTAAATATCTGTGAAGATAGATATAGATATGAGTATAGATAAAGATATAGATATAGATATAGATATAGATATGAGTATAGATAAAGATATAGATAGAGATATAGATATAGATATAGATATAGATATAGATATAGATATAGATATAGATATAGATATAGATATAGATATAGATATAGATATAGATATAGATATAGATATAGATATAGATATAGATATAGATATAGATATAGATATAGATATAGATATAGATATAGATATAGATATAGATATAGATATAGATATAGATATAGATATAGATATAGATATAGATATAGATATAGATATAGATATAGATATAGATATAGATATAGATATAGATATAGATATAGATATAGATATAGATATAGATATAGATATAGATATAGATATAGATATAGATATAGATATAGATATAGATATAGATATAGATATAAATATAAATATAGATATACATATAGATATACATATAGATATAGATATAGATATAGATATAGATATAGATGTAGATGTAGATATAGATATAGATATAGATATAGATATAGATATAGATATAGATATAGATAGAATAAACTCTGCTTACCTATAGAGCATTCGTGCACCCGTCCAATATAGCCAATTTTTTTCGAAGCGCTCGCCATCGTCGCCCTCGAAAACCTGAAATTAAAGTTTGCATTTTACATTTTACATTTAAATATCAGATGGTTCCGGGCTAATCTTGGCCAGAGCTTGCACTTGCCTTGAACACGCTGATTATGTAGCCGGTGGCCGCTGTCTGGGACTTCTTGAAGCTGCCGGCTTCGTTGGAGGGCAGCACCAGCGGGGGGCGGCAAATGGCAGCCACCTCGCTGTACAGGTCCAGCGTGTGGGCGGCAGTGTATCTGAAAGCGCGGGGTAGAGGATGTTAGCAACTTAATTCAATGGCAAAGCGAAACAAGTTAGCTGATGGAACATAAAATAGCCTATAACATATTTTATCATTTAGCTTACAGACATAAAAGGTTCCCTTAAAAAAGTGAAGCTTCAAAAGAAAATCCTTGGGTTTTTACAACATGATCGACTAATATATACACTGAAATTCTCAATAGTTTACTTTTTAAGCAAACATGCAGCCAAAAAACTGGACTTAATTTTATCAGACTGATTTTCAGATTCACAAAGTTTTGGTTAAGATTATTAAATATAAGATACCCCTTAATATAGAAGTTATGAAGTATAGATAATTATCTATTTCTTATCTTAAAAAAGGGAATAGATACTTTTCAAAGAGAAAGTTCAACTAAAAATAAGCCAAAAAAAAACGGAGAATATAGAATATGTTAGGTAGAACTTGAGTGACGCATGGTCTTTGTATAATTTAACCCAGAATAACTAAAACTAGGGCTAACATCTCTTTCAAAAATATAAATTACAGGGTATTAGAACAGCACAAATTTGCATTATAAATGTGCTGATTGCTGTTGATTATCTTACTTGAGTGCTTTTGGCTCGAATTTGGAGAGCGATGAGACGCGCAGGTTGGAATAGAAATTCGATGGATCCGTTTGCATCGTGTTGATCAGATAATACGAAATAAAAGGAAATTCAGCTAAAATAAAATGACAAAAGTGAAGGCATGTTAATTGGTAGGGAAACGAAAGCCAGCTCTCGAAATACTTATTAAATTAAAATTTATTTTTTTTCAATTTTTTATACACTTACAGCTTTTCTCCATATTGGCTAGTATCATGCCGCCGACGGCTGTGTTCGCCTGCTGCACCTCCGTTAAGAGCTCCGAGGCAATGGCGCGTTGCTTGAGCAGCGGATGGGAGAGCGGTGATTCCATAACTGGATCTATGGCCTCAAGTGGACTCATGAGATGCACAAGTATGCACAGCTTGGGATCGGAGACCTCCAAAACGCTAAGCGGGCTGCTTGCCTTGCCATCGGCACTCAGAGCAGGTAACTAAGGTAAAGAAAATAAGCTTTAAGCTCTTTAGTTAAGAGGGTAAATAGAGCTTTTTACCGGTATGCCGGCTGGCAGAAAGCGATCAACGCTGTGCACCGGAATGATGAAACAGTCGCGATCCAAGGTAGCCAAAGAGATGGGCTCCGCACGTGTCGTTCCCGCGTTGCCACCACCCCCACCAAAGTGGCCTGAAAATTGAAAAAAGATGGCAGCATTAGCATATCGAAAGCTTGAAAAGTGAAGATAGTTAAATAGACACAACAATGTTACGATAGGTTCCATTAGGAAAAGCTAACAAATGTGTCTAGCTGTTTTGAGCTTATGTCGATCGCATTTAAAAGAAACACAAAAAGCTTTTTCTGCAGATCCTGTAGCTTAAAGTGCCAGAGAGCTTAAAGCTTTGAACAGAGTTGCCACAACTAAAAGCTTTGCTGAGCTTTTGTTAGGTTATTAAAGCTTCTGCTGTGGTTCCGTTAGCAAGCTGGCCAGAAATACTGAAAACTTAACATTTTCAAAACTTTTGCTGAATGTCAAATATTAAATTAAAGGCAATAGAGCGCCAAAGCTTTCAAGCGTGTACAAAACATGTCTAGCTTTCAGTATTTAATCAACACAACAAAGAACTTGCACCAACAACAACAAGATGAGAAAGAACACGCGGAAGTGTACAACTTAAAGTACACTGAAGATAGGTTTGTTTTGTTTTTTTTTGTTTGGTTAAGGAAAACGTGTGTATATTATTGTGTTTGTGTGTGTGTGTGTGTGCGTTTAGGGAATCAATGCAACATACGTAGGCACAACAGATGCTGGTTGTGAGCTTTTATTGTGATTAGTTTGATTTTTTCTTGCAGTGTATATATATGCATTCGTTTTTGGATGTAGTAGTGGCAGCAACCACAACAACAAGTTTGACTAGTTGTTGGCTCAAACCTTGCCGCGTCGCTGCTGCGGCAGCTGTTAGCAGCGTGCTCGTCGCACTCAGCGTCTGTGGCAGTTGCTGTTGTTGATAGAAGTAGCCGGCATGTTGTTGCTGCTGCTGTAGCTGCTGTTGCTGTTGCTGCTGCTGCTGTTGTTGTTGTTGCGGCTGCAACTGTTGCTGCAGCCTGGTGAGACTGTTATTTGTGCTGTTGCCGCCGGCAGCGCTGCTGCCGTTCCAACGCATCAACGAGACGGACCGATCGACCAGCGGCTGCGGTAGGTCCACTTCATAGGGATTGGATGGCTGTGTAAAGGACGTGGACGTGGTCGGGGTACTGGGTATGCCCGATAGTGCGCTACATCGTTCTGCAATGGATGCTGTTGATATTTTATATGGACACACAACACAAAAAAAAAAACAAAAAAAAATCATAATAGAGATAGAGCATTTAAAAAATTGAATTCTTGTCAGGATTGAGGGAAAAGGCTTGTTGGGATAGTGCTCGATGAAAGTTTTATTTTCAATTTTCTTTGTTTTCTGTTGTTGCAGTTAGGCACATATTACGGAAATTTATATTTACACAAAACTAGACATATTCAACTGTTGTTTTTGGTATTAGTAGGCGACGCATTGCTGCAATTAATTGTTAGCTGGATATATAGATATTATATACATACGCTATATCAGTGCACAAGTTCCATTCGCTTGACCTTTTCAATAGGTAAATAATCTGTGCTCTTTAAGCATTCAAGGACATTACCATTGCCAAAAAAAAAAAACAGAAGAAGAATCGCAGCTTACATATACGACTTTTGCCCTAAAAGCCAAGCCAACTGGAAATTCGTAGATAAGCGGAACACGTGAGCATTTCGATAACGCTTGAGCTTAAGTCTTGCCAACTACAATATTTATGTCGAGCATAAAGTAAAAGTAATACGCATCGTTGTTATTTATTGCAACGTTTCCTGCATGCGCGCCTAAAAAAGCCAGCGAATTTGAGTGGCAAATGTGAAGAAAATGACATTAGGAGGTTGTGATGTTTGGGAAAATGAAGTGTTTGACAGATACAATTGGACAGATACAAGACAATATCAACCTGGAACTAACCATGTAATAATTTATAGTATTTTCTTATGAGCTTTAAATCTATGGCATGGCATTAGAATATATTAAAGTTCCGTGACATTTCTATATATTCTTTAAATAAATTTAATTTCAAAAAACGTTGTATTTTAAGAAAGTAGTTTCTCATAAAAAGGAATTTTAATGTTGAACGGGGAATAAAAAAATACCTATATATTCTAATAGACGCATAAAAATAAACCTTTTTATAAATCGATTAGCTCTTTGAATTCGAATAACCAACACTAACACGCAGCTGCTTGTCTAAATGCATTAATATTGTGGCGCATGCTGCGTATGCGTGATATGCGCACATATTACGTATACGCCGCATATGCTGCCGGCTAATTGAATATGTTCAACGATTATCTGCCATCAGCGTTTAACCACGCCTGCATAACAATCGGCAGCTGGCGAATCCTTTTCGCTGTCTCCATTTGGAAAATTGATGCAAACATTTGAATGTGAATGCGAATGCGAATGAAATGTAAAAATGAATTGGGGGCGAGTTAATGGGTTAATGGAGCGCAAATAACTGAGCCGACGGCTAAAGCAGAACACAAAAGAGCAACAGAGATGGAAAAAGAGAGTTAGAAAGAGATAGACATACATAGAGAGAGACAGAGACAGACAGTTATAGAGAGAGAAAGAGAGTGTGCAATGGTATTCATGTAGCTATTGAATTGCTTGGCGACAATTTACCTTCGCCCACATCATAGCCGGGTCGATTGGGCGAGAAAAACAGATGGGTGCGATAATGTATTTCCTCCGGCTGCTGCACCAGGCCCATATCCCGCGAACGTTTCGTGCGATTTGCCTTCGATTGAAGTTTTCCGCCGCCGCCGCCGGCTTTGCTGGCGCCCTCGCGGAAATTCTTGCGAAACATTAAATTCATGTTGTTGTTGTTATTGTTGTTGCAGTTGTTGCAATGATGTCTATGAGTGTCCTGTGTGGCTGAGTGGTGCTATTGAATGGGCTGCTGATGGTGGGTCGAGGTGGTGCAGGTGCTGCTGTCGCTGCCGTTGTCCGCACACTTGATTAATTTGTGTATATTCGTTATGTTGCTTTTTGAGCCTGGCCGTGTATACGATTTGCAGGGTATACGTGTGTCTGTGTGTATACCATACAGCTTATTTGTATTTACTTTAGTCTCTGTGAATGTGTGCGTTTGCTTGGGTTTCAGTTTGGTTTGTTTGCTTTTTTATTTACTTTGTTATTGAGTTAAATTCACTCGCCCGCTTTGAGGTCAGGCAATTTAATTTATTTGCTTTTGACCTGCCCAACATAATGAAGTGCTTTAATTTTAAGCTTAATGAAAACTTGTAGTCACACGTTTAGGTAAAAAGAAGAGAAAAAACAGGAAAGTTCCCTTGCAACAGGTTAAAACAACTTTTCTCCGGTTCGAAGCAAATTTGTGTCAAATGCTTTTTGCGCACTGCGCTTCAGCGTATTTTCTGAGCATTTTTTTTTTGTCTTTTTCTTGTGTCTATTTTAAGCTGCGTGCGTATTTGCTCGGCATTTTGTTGGCATTTGGTTTTTATAAATTAATTGCTAGCAAAGATTTAATTAGTCAGCAAAACGTAGCCATGGCAAATGTAAACGCACCTTTCAATTTCATTTAGTTCGAAGAGAATTTGTTATATTTACAGCTGGTTTTGAGAGAAAAATATTTTAATCTGCTTTAAGAATAGAAAATGGTTCTTTAACATTTCTTTAAAAGTTCTTTATACTTAGAAGAAACATGTGATAGCTAAATTAACTTTACTTCACATCACAGCAACCAGAGTAAAATGCTTGAGAAGGCTCCAAAAGCTACACTGGCTATTAAAGCAAACAAAGCAAGCTGCAGAGTTTAACGAAGGCGCCCTTCTGAACCCAGCGATCGCCAGGATCCTGGCTGATTCCATCACAGAGAGGCGCCTCCAAAGGTTACACCCCTGCGACCAACCTACGAGGCGAACTATCTAAACACCCTTTAGTGTTGGGCCATGTCGTTAATCTGCTTCATTGTAAATATCCAACTATTTTAAATACCCCTCAATGTAAATACCACTTGAGCTAACAAACATTGTTACTATACATTATATCACAGTCTTTCGCTTGGTATAGATCATAAGGTACTGAAGGTACAGAAGGTACTAAAACAAATTTAATTTAAAAAACAAGTTAACTTTCATGTGATTGAGAATCTAGCAGATCCATTTTTGTGACCAAAGTCAGAATAAGCAGGCAGATAGAAAGTTTACTTTATCCAAAATAAGTCAAAGATATTTCTATAATCATATTCTATAATAGAATATTATAAAAATTTCAAAAAGTTTTTAACAGAGTATCTGTCAGTCTATCAATATGTATAACATTTTGTATTTGACTTCCTAAATGCTCAGCTTGTCGCAAATTGGGCAGCAATTTTCCGTTTTTCTTTTGGAACAAAAAGCCAATCAAAAAGTCAAAAGCGCTTAACTCGCAACATAAACACACACACATGAGTGTGTATGCGTGTGTGTGTGCGTGTACTGTAGTTTGCAAGTGTTTTGTTTTTATTTGGTTTTTTTTTTGTGGCAGCAGCTGCGGAAATTACCCATTTCCGCTGCTAAGCAGTTGAAAATTACTCAACACACTCACAAAGAAAACGTGAGCATGAGCCTTAAGTTTCTTGTGTGTAAGTAGCTCAAATATACCCTGTTGCTGACTCCAACGAGGGTATATTGTGCATATGCATGTGTATGTAACATGTAGGCATATTCAAAGCCTGCATAACTAGCCTATATAACTTATTAACTTCAGGCTCTGGAATCAAGGATAACATTTTCTTCCATGAGGTTCACTCAATGAGCTCACAAACATTTTGTAGGGTATCTTAAAGTCGACTAACTGCAGTAAATAGCCGTAGCTTATATTTTTCTTTGGGCACGCGAACAGAGCCAGCAATTAGCTGCTGCCAAAAAGGGGTTTTTCCAGCAACAGAGAAGGAGATAGGCAGCTAGATAGCGGAAGAGAAAGAGAAAGCACTAGAGAGAGATTTGTATATCTGTGTGAGTTTAATTAGTTCAAGACACGACGCAATTAGTTTTACTGCCGCTTATTGATTGCCATTGAGCGAAAAATTTCAACAACAGCATCGGCATCGGAATCGGAATCGCAGCAGCCAAAATCGCTGAGCCGAGCAAATTGAAAAGTTCTTGAAAAGTCATTTATAACAATCGTTTTGGCTGTTGGGCATTAAAACACAACGCAACCATCAAAATGGATTAATGGTAAGTATATAAGTAAACAAACTCGTGAAAGCAAACGTAAAAGTTATAACGAAAAGGAAATTAAGCGGAAGTTTCATAAAAAGTTTAATATTGAAAGAGATTTAATGAAAATTTGCAAATATTAAGAAAGCCGCTTCCGGTTCATAATTTGTATGTGCAGACAGCAATGGGAAAATCAAAGAAAATAATGTTCCTAGGGAAATTTATTTCACATTTTTATTTCGATTTCAACAAACTCTACAAACAAATCAAACCATCAGAGTAGAGCTATGTCTAAAGGATTTTAGCCAGGATTTGGCGATCAATGCCAGCAATTAATGCCAGCCATTTCCCAAGCACGCACCAATTTCCCAATTAAGTCTAATCAAACATAATCCAATATATAAACAGCATATTACATATAAGAAGCATAGTGTAGCAAATAAATTCCGAGTTTGGTCAAGATATCCGGATAACTAAAAGTTTTTCATACAAGTTATTAATTTTCGACCGATCGTTGCCATGGCAGCTTTCGATCCGTCTGGTTTCCACATATGTGCTGCCAGGCAAGTAAAGACGGACCTACTCAAAGTTTCAAGACAGCAGCTTTAAAACTCAGAGACTAGTTCGCATTGAAAGAGACAGCCTCGGATGCTGAAGCTCATCTAGAATACATATTTCTTATGGGGTCAGAGATGCCTCCTTCTACACATTTCATGACAGAATTATAATATCTGCTACAAGGGTATAAAAATGTTAACGTTTAAAACTAACATAATCGAACACAAGCTAACATGATATTTTAATACCTTATGCCCAACACAACAAAATCAATTATAATTTACAACACAACCAAGCTTAATCATCCTTTTCAAATCAACTATGCTTCCGCTTTATTGCTACCCATTTTCATTTCAAACTCAAAGATTTTAGCCTGATATGGAGCAGGGGAAAGTAATATATGAAAGCTTACTCTCAGCTTCGACCATAACTATTTGGGAATTATAGTAAAATGCTCGTTTAGGTTGCTTTCCGTTCAAACTTAATGCCTTATCTTATTAAATACTTCTAGCTTTTACGACACACACAACTTACTAAAGCTCATCATAATAAGATGACCGAGTATTAATGGCTAAAATGGTTTGGAAGATATCTTGTGCTGGGAATGGCTCATAAATTGCGTATGAGTGATATTATGAGATTGCACATGCAAAATCAACAGATGAATGCTGCCTGTCAGCACACACTTAAACTGTCCATACACACGCACACACACATACACACATACACACAAATACAAGGCACAACCCCAACGATCTAATAAGCAATGGGTCATAAAGTTTTTACAGCATTCCTTTGTCAAGTGCCTGGCGCGATGAAAATTGCGTTTGGCCAACGATGTTGGCTATAATTAAATATATTTACGACACAAGTTACAACAATAGTGCTCATCGTTAAGTCACACACACACACACACAAACACACACACACACATACGCACACGCCCGCACAGCCAAGCAATCAAAACAAACAACAATGAAACAATCAAGCGACCAAATAGAAAACTCTCAAGAATGAGTGATAATAACCATAAAAATTAAATTTCGCTCGTTCCTCAATTTCATTTCGTGCCAGCGCCAAAAATAAACAGCGAAATCATATATATACCCGATACATACATAAGTAGTATGTATATATATATTTATATATGTGTGCATATCTCATTTGCTAGCTGCTTAAGTAGGCTAAAATGGCAAAGTGGGCCGAAAGCTACCCTGTACGAAAACAAATTAAAATTTATTGCAGCTTCTCTATAACTTTTACGTTTAATAACCGATTCGTATAGAACGAAATTTAGAAAGTCTTTCGATCAAATTGTGATTAGGGACAATCGGAAGTGGGGTCCTTATGTTTAGGGAATTTATTGGATGCACAAGTGTAAACTTAGAGATAAACCTAGTCAGGAATTTATATTTAAATATGTCTTATACGGAAGCACATCTCTGCCTCCCTTGAGCATATCTCTTTGCTGCCCTTTTTACAGGGTATCTAAAAAGAAAGCACAGTCAGCGCGTAAGAAGTAAATTTGAATATTCGTGAGGGTTGCATTTAAGTTGTACTCGTACATGACCTAGGCAGAGGCAGACGGCCCTTGACCTTGCGGGTGTGTACTACCAAACCAACGTGTGTGTGTGTGTGTGTGGCGTGTGTGTGCTTGAGTAACGTGTGTGTGTGTGTGCGGGTGGATGATTGTGACTGTGGCTATGCCATGTGCTAGTCTTGTTGAATGATTCGGCAGGTTAGCATTTAATGCGTTGACACAATTTTTCGTATGTTTTGCCGCAATTTACACAAAGCATTTTGTGTAATTGTTTGGCATGTGATTTGTAAATATTGCTTAAATATATAGATATATATATATATATATATATAGCTGATACTTGTACATACATATAGATACATATGCTTAGCTCTTGGATTAAGCCAATTAATAGCTGAAAAAAGTAAATTTTTTTACATTTTATTTTTGGTTGGGTTCTTTAGTTATTTGAAATCTTTGTGATGCTCATAAAATTATTTTAATATTTAAATTAATATATTTGACTTAAATTTGAATATATTTTAATTGGATTTTGTGTTCTATATAACACAACTTTCGTACAAATATTTTTTTAAATGTAATTTATTTTATTATTTAATTTATTAAATATATTTAATGCATAAAAATTGTGCAAAAAATAAATGTTAATGGGAGATTGAATTTATTTAACATCGTTCTTGCAATTCAAAGTTTTGTTTAACATGCATTTATATGTCTGATTTGTATTTTTTATGCTTTTTAGAAAAAATTAAATATTAATATTAATCACTTTATGCATTATGTTCCATTTGAAATCAATATTATTATATATTATTATATTTTTGATATAAATATTAGAAAAATGCGGATTTCATTTAACGTATTCCTTTTAGATTTTCTTTTGAATTAATTTATCTGTAGTTTATTTTTAATTTTCTTTAAATTATATTATTTATGTTTCTAAATATTTCTTGTACTTTTGCATTATTGTTGTTTAGACCACTTTATATTTTTCTTATGCACATAGAATTTAAATTTTCTTTAAATATTTCACTTTTACACTTAGTATTCAAATTATTTTGCACCTTTGCACGTGCCTCGCGTCGTATACTTAATTTGGC